TACCTTCATACTAGCAAGAATCACAAGGACAACAAGCACATACATGCATATCAATAAGTGTCACGAAGATCACTACCATCCTACAACATAATCTAATTGTCTGACATTGGTGCCTTCGACCCATAAGTACAGTGGGGAAACTCACCTTAATATGAAGATGCACAAATCCCACTCTCTGGTTTCTGCTACCATGGCTCCTCACACTGAACACAATCAAACCAATCCTAATCACACTTTAGGGTAATAAATGAAAGTAGAAAATCATAATCCCCATCATAAAGAGTAAAAGACCCTTTTGCCCTCCTACTCTAGGCCCAACAAGCCATGAACCAAGGCCCACTAATGGCTCAAAAGACCGAAGGCCCAATAATGGCCTAAAAAGCCTAAGGCCCAAGAGTGGCCCAAAAGACCTAAGGACCAAAAGGCCTTCTGGTGAGTATGCCCAGTGTACCACCTTGTTACTCCCAACATACAAGTTCCTCAACAAAGTGAATGGGATAGAAACACGTTACGCTGAGCGTACACCTATGTACGCCCAGAGTACTCCCCTGACTGCCAAAACTGAATTATGCACTAAATACCTTGAGTCCAAACTTCAAAATCACAGGTCTAGTTCTAAGGAAACATCTTAAATGATAAAGTCATCAACTTGATGCCTTTTCATGGCTTAAAGAGGCCCACCATTCATTTCTAACACTCTAACTTCATATTAAGACCATTAAGTCGTGCATGGTTGAGCTTAAGCCATCAAGATCCCATTTTCTAAGTACTCATGAACATTACATCAAAGCTATTGCTATGTCTAATCCCCATAGACAATCTACAATTCTATTCATGAAAGTCTTAATTTTCTACTTACTTCCAAATGTACGAGCAAATGTGGAATTTCGAATAATCAAATTATTTTGGAAGTAAAACATGAAAACTGAAACACAATAATAACATAACTAACTATGGTCTCAAACTATTGAATAGAAATAAAACTCTTATTATTTAAACACCATATTAATTAGACTTTATTCATTGTATAATGTTTCGAGTAATCAACTACATTATTGAATTAAACATCAGTCATGCCATGTTATAAACATGCATAATATGTCTCTCTATGGTCCTTCCTTCTGTGAACAAATCGATTGGACACTATTCCAACGATGCTTATTTCAGAATTTTAAATTCTTGTCACTACCAATTGTGTCAGAATTCCAACCTTACATTCATTGTCCTTCAATGATGTTGAAGCTTCAAAGTCACATAGACTTGGCCAACGATATTACAGAATGTTCCATTGGAACTGTGTTACGAAAACAATTCCAAAATAATGATGTAAAATCCCCTCTGGAACGTATCACAATATTGTCCGCTTTGGGCCACTCGGAACGAGGACTTCCCAGGGGGTCACCCACCCCTATACTACTCCCACCCGAGCACGCTTAACTGCAGAGTTCTTATAGGATCTGCTACCCTCACGGCTTTAAAACGCGTTGTGATATGGAAGGTATCCATACCCCTTATAAGGAATGCTTAGTCCCCCTCGTCACATCTCCACAACTCTAACCATAAATTATTTTCATCCGCCACTTGTGACTCTCTTGCCACCACCACCTTTCCTTCACGTTTTTCTGATCAGCCAAGGTCGCCAAGCGACTGCCGTTCCCAGCCGCCATCCTTGCCATCCTTGTGAGCTGTCAACCAACCAAAGCCGTCTTTTGCTTCTATTTCTGTCGACAAGGACCAAGCGAGTGCCTTTTTCTGCTACTACTGCTAATACTATCGTTCGCGGTCACAACCTTTCTTTTCTGTTTCTTTGGTGCTATGCTGCAGCCGACGTCCACCGCCACTCGTACGACTCTTCTCCACTACTCCGATCAACATCCACTACTCCGAGGGAGGCTATTGTGTGTATCTTAGTTCGTGTGTTGCAAGTTTGTGTGTATTGTCTTGTGTTGTTGTTTGTTGTGGGTGGTGCTCGTTTGGCCTGAAAGTCGATAACAACCACCATGGAAGCCGACCATGGTGGTTGCCGTCGTTCTGCCGCCACTAGTCACCATCTCTGGTGGCTATGGGCTTGTGTATCTGTTTGGACTGATGATTGGGAAGCTTGTGATATTGTTATCGGCCTAATATCATAACCACCACCACTGTGAGGTGATGGCTGCCGCCGCGAACCGCCATTGACCACCACTGTCCGAGGTGGTAGTGGGTGGTGTCCGGCTTATTAGATGCTAATTAATCTAAAAACTTAACCATGGGCCTAGTTGGCATAAGTTTGGGTTAGAAACCCTAATTAGGGTTTAGAGAAAAACCCTAATCATGGAGACTTTAGTTTGGGACTTGTCGGGACCCGTGTTCTGGACCGTTGGATTTGAATTATGAATAATGCCCGACCATATTGTATGATTGACCTGGTAGAGTGATAGACTTAATGGATTAAGTCCTTAATGGGTTAAGGGTTCTCACTTAGCCCTAATCGTTATTTTATGTGAAAACCCTAATTTTGTTTGGGGTTTGAGTTGGGCCTTCTTCTTGGGCTTAGGTGTTTGGGTTCTTGTTGTGCCATATGCGAACAGGTGTATGAACTAGGATATTTACATAGGCTTTAGGGCTAAGCTATCAATAGCGCGCTATAACAGTGCTAGCGGTGCTATAGCATTTTGCGGTGTTATTGAACCGCTATTTTAAAATAGCGTTTACGAATAGTAATGACGCTATTAGCGGTGCTTTTGACCGCTATTTACCGTGAACCTCATCAGTGCTATAACGACGCTACACCCGCTTTTACAATTTCGTACATATTGGGTTACTTTGATAAAGAAAAAACAATTGTGTGTTATTTCAATATTAAATATTATTTTTTTTTAACTAGTCCACTACAATTTTTGTCTTAATAAGTACAAATAATAAATATGATTAATTACAAATTACAAATTACAAAGCAACAAACGACAACTTCCATTTCTCGTCTATTCGAATAATTAGAAACCATGAACGACTTGAGCTGCGATGGCATTTTGATACTTTTTAGTTTCCATATTACTATATTATAATATTATATATTGATTATGTTATGTTTTATATGATTTTTTATGATATTAATTCTCTATAGTATTAATAATCTAATATATAATTTTTGTATAAATATATAGGATAAATTATACATAATATTAAAAAACCGCTATACCACCACGATAACCGTGATTTCAAATAGCGGCATGTGACCGCTATTGAAATTTTCACCGGGATAACTGCTTAGCTTTAGGGTAAGGCCCATGTCAGGGGTTTGGGCCCAATTTGGAAAATTAGGCCATATATTGGGCCTTGGTTGATTGTTTGGCTTTTGGGCCTTCAGAGTGTGAGTTTAGGCCTTGGGCTTGGATCAAGCTAGGTTGGGGTAAAATGGTCTTTTACCCCAAGTATGGATTTATGGTTATGCATTTGAACCCAATTATTAATTGGGTGTTGTTTTTATGTTGACACTTCGGGGATCAGTCAACCAGCAGCTAGAGTTATATCTGCGGAGCTTCAACAGTGTGAGGTGAGTCTCCTCACTGTGTTTAGCGGTTCGAAGGCACCAAGGCTGGCCCTTTATTTATTGCATAGTATGGTGGTTGAATATGTGATAATTATCATTGTTCATGCATTGCTTGATGATCATGTGATTTATATATGTATGTGTTGTTATTATTTGGTAGTGGTAGGGGTGAAATACACCCCATAACCGGTTGAAATAGATTGGAGGGTAGGTTGGGAAACCAAGATATGCCTGGCAGGATGTTTATGTGTTGTTATTATGTGGTAGTGGTAGGGGTGAAATAGACCCAGTAACCTGTTGAAATAGACCGGAGGGTAGGTCGTACATCCAATTATGCATGACAGGGTAGGCCGGGCACCCAAATATGCCTGGAAGGGTGGGTCGAGCACCCAGATCAGCTCGACAGGGTAGGTCGGGCACCTAGATATGCTTGACAGTATGTTTGTGTTGTATGTGGTATGTTGGGGGAACTCACTAAGCTTTGTGCTTACGATTTTTAGTTTATGTTTCAGGTACTTCGGTTTTCAAACAAGGGAGCTCCGGATGATTGCAAGTAATGCACCACATGTTTCCACATTTTACAATTTACTCTGATTTAAAATAGTACTCATGCATTAACTTTGATAAACTTGTATGAATAATGTTTGGAGCACTATTTTTATTTGATAAAAAAAGGGAATTTTATGATCTTACTCTTGGGATGTTACAAATGGTATTAGAGCCAGGGCACAAATTGATATGTTCGACAGGGATGCCGAACCCTATAACGGGGGGGGGGGGGTGAAGGTGGGTTGCACCTTATTCCATATCGCTTGGAATGGAGAACTAAGCATTCACTACAAGAAAAACAGCCTTTTACGACGCTCATTGCGCGTTGTAAAAGGCTCAAACGACGCGCAAATGCGTGTCAAGGAAGGCCCTGTCATAAAGAGAGACGACGCGCATTTACGACGCTCATTTACGACGCGCAATTACGACGCGCGTTTACGACACGCAATGCGTATCAAGGAAGGCCCTGTCATAAAGGAAGATGACACGCATTCGCGTGTCGTAACCTTACGACGCGCGTGTTAATGACATGCAATGCGTATCAAGAAAGCCCCTGTCAAGAAAGGCCATGTCATAAATGAAGATGACACACATTTTTGCGTATCGTAAATTTAAATGTTTAAAAAAATAAATTTATATATTTATTAATTTTTAAATTAAATTTGCATTTAATTTCTCATAATAGAAATAAAATACCATATACAAAAAATACAATCCATTGCATAATATAAAATAAAATTTCATACTCAAAAAATACAATAAATTGCACAAATTGTAATGTCATACAAAGAATCATTCAAATGTTAAACAAAAATAATACATTGCTAACATGGGTTATACATTCCTATAAAACTAACAAATAATCATACAACTCTGTTTCTTACTGGAAAGGAATATCAAACATGATTACAAGTCTCCCTTAATCTTGATTACTCACCTTTTTAAGTAGAATGTTGTTGTTGAGAAGGTTACCTAGCAACGTATCCATAGTTTCAGTTTATAGTAATCAAAATATAATAATAATCAAAATATAATAATAAAGTAAAAAGTTGAGAAGAACTTACAGCTTCTACCATCAAACAATGAGTCAGTACTAGCTTCAATTACTTGATATGTTCCAACAACAATGTCCATAATAAGTGTAGCCATTTGAGACATGAGGACCATATGGTAAACTCCCAATTCCATCAGTTCTTTGGCTCTTTTCACAGTTTCAGTTGTGTTTGATGACATTGCTAACTCCAGAAGTTCCAATAAATTCTGATTAGAGACAACTCCTACCTACAATCAACTCCAAAAGAATCAGTAAAAAGTTTGAATAAAAAGTTACAAGGATCAAGAAACCAGTAGATTAGATACTTACAAGTTCATTTCCAGCCTCTGAAGCGTCTTCATCTTTTTCATTACTTTGAAAATACTATGAGATGTGATTTTTTTAACGTTATCAATCCATAAATTAAGCACAAAAAATATGTTATCATCCTGAACATGTCACCAATTAATAAAAAATGCGCACCTGTAGTCAGGCCTCTGTGATGAACTTTAGTTGTGATTCAGGCTGGCACTGCTTGTCACTCAGCTTCTCAAGCTACAAAAACAAAAATTAAATCTATTTGTTACAGATTTAATAAAAAAAAACTAGAAGACGTATAAAATATATAAAAAATGGCATACATGTGTGCTTTGCATTTGCTGAAGATCTGCCAGGGCCTTTTGTCTAGACTGCAGAACAGAAAACAATAATTATCCTGTTAAAACTTATAAATTATAAAACATCGTATAAAAGTCAAGAGCTTTTTTATATAAATAGAAACGATATTATAAGTTATAACAATAATAATGTAAGCTTATGAATTGGTTTGTAGCCCATCTTTCATAATAATGAGTGTATCTTTCTAAAGAGTTTTTAGCCATCTCTCTTCGTTTCTCTGTGTCATCATACTGCAGACAACAAAATACACAATATTTATTATTTAATAACTTCAATTCAAATGTGTAAAAGATTTATTAAATGATATATATAAATAATGGTGTTTGTGGTGTTGTTGACATTCCTCAACACATCCATGGCCTCAGACACCTTTGCTTTCAAAGCATCTGGTGACTCCAGCAAATGTAACACTTCTATTTGGTCCATCTCCAAAAGCATTCCTGTTACTTTAGCAGCATTCTCAGGTTCCAACTGATCCACCAGTGGATACAAACTCTCACCCAACATCTGTCCATTCATTTAAAAAACATATCATATGTTAACACCCTGATTTAATTATTAGAGTAAGTTCCATATTTGGTCCCTATGCTTTACACAAAATTGCAACTTTAGTCTGAATAATTAAGAAAATGTAAAATAACATACATACTGTCCTTTGCTGTTCAGGAGGGGCATTAGCAAGGGAAGAAGCCAAAGTTGTAATTGGCATTGGCTGGCCCATTGCTGCACCTTCATACCGAGGAAACATGCCATCCTTGAGATTTGAATCCGGTGCATTGTGACCCGGGTAACGATACGTGCATCCTCTTGGAAACATCTGACAAAAACAAAGGGAAAATAACAATTATTATTGCTTACCAAAACCCACCTTTTGATTAATTAGTTTCTATTCATCTTTTTGCATCAAAGATGTAAATCTGATTTTATATGTTCTGATCTGTAAGTTTTATTTATTTATTTATTTTTAAATTCTTTATTTCAAAAAAATATTGTCTCAGTCTTCATCACTAATAATAGCACCAAATAACCCAACATAGCCATGAGTTCAATTCTATCAGCAGTTTTCACAAAGAACTCGTGCATAACTCAGAAGTGATCCATTAAGCTAAATGACAAAATTGCCCTTTGACCAAAAATGTTAAAAGACAAGAAGATTACCTCAGTAATTAACATTGTTAACATCATAAAGGGTAGCCCCAGCAACCACTAGAAAGTGGCCCTTGATAGGGCTACTTCCTCTTTCTAAAATTATACAAAAATACAAATTAGAAGTAGAGCTAAAACTATACATTGAATTCACATATTATATAATAAATTTATATGAAAATTCATTTTGTTTCCATATGAAGATGGTTACTTGAATTTCTTTTGCCAAGTTTGTCCCACCAACATGCTTCTATGTTGCTCCACCATTAAATACAAATCTAAATGCAGTGCAAGCTTCCACGTCTTTAAAAATCTACATGAAAAAAATAAGATGTAAATAATGCAAGTTATATAAACAATAAAAACTTCATGGTTGAATGTTCCTTTGCAAATATATAAATACAACCGTTTTACCTTATTAATATTTACATCATTCAATTCATATGAAATGGAAAAACTCGGGACTAGACCAGCATTTAGTTTTAACCTGTAAATCACATAAATAAATAAATAAATATATAAAAATAATTAACTCAAATAGAAGAAAAACTATATTTTTTTTTCAAACATCGAACAAGTTTTCAGTAGGAACCTTTGAGTCATTAAGTCAAGATAAATGAGATCAACACTATGGCAACCATTCCTACTCTTCAGATTGTCTACAGCCCATAGCTAAAGATACTTTGTAACTCTCAATTTGACTCTCCACAAACCATACAAAGGGTAAGGAAGTAAAATATCAAATAAGATTTGAAAAGGAGACAAGGTTTAGGGTTCTGTACCTCTTGAATGTCCTTCATATTGACTGACATTGACTCACTTGGAAGGTTTTTTGCCAGGAAGTTTTCCTTAATTCTTCAGACTCTGATATTCCAGATGCAAGTGATTTTACGTTTTTCTACATAATAAAAAAATAAGAAAGGAAAAAAAAGTAAAGGGTAAGAAAGTAAACTTCTTAATTGAAATGAGAAATTTGTAATAATCTGCAAGTAACATCCATTATTTAGTTCAGTGCATTCAATCATCAACAAAAAGACAATAACTTAATAGCTACCTGTGGATAATACATGTTGCTATGTCCTATTTCCTTGAATTTAATATTCAAATAATCCTGTAAAAGGAAAACCAAAAGTCAACAACTCCCTACAAGATTACTCCGTTGAATCCAGATGATAAACAAGAGCTACAAATTTGCTTTCAAGTGTATGTTTATGTTTCCAATGGTAAATAGAAATCCCATATTTGGCTACGTTATAGAGAGTGATCTAGTCTGTGAATGTATACTGCTTTTGGTAAATAGAAATCACATCTTCAGATTTACCTGGGCTCATTGTCCCCATATGCAAGCAACAATAATGTTCCACCTTTAAAATGGACAGAATCCAGAATAACAGGAAGCATCTTCTCAGCTCCTGCTGCTTTTTCGCCAACTTTTCGGACAACCTCTGACTTAATCTTTTCAATGGAACCAACAACCAAGTTTGACCACAACTATTTTTTTTCCAATTCAAAGCTTGGTCAAGTGAAAATTGGTCTCGTCCAACACAGATGGTGGAAAACAACACGAAAATTCCTCTTCGATGATGATAGGCTAGGGTTTTAGAAAGAATGAAGAGAGAAAATGTTTAGAGAGATAGAGATAGAGAGAGAGAGAGATAGAGAAAAAGAGAGCGAAATTCAAAATAAGGTATGGATGATTGTGATCTTCAGAGATGACGTACACTTCTCTAAGCCATATCAGGGCGAGCCCATACCATCTAGAACTGCAAAACAGAGGAAACGATCATCTTTTCCTTCAAGCCCATAATAAGGTTAATGTATTTTGAAAAGACGTTAAAAGCAGTACCACAGCTCCGATGCATCCTCCTCTCGGCCTTAAACTCTCTTCTCTCACTTTCTGCTCATTTTTTCTTTTCTTTCGCATTTTTTGTTCAGTCTTACCGCGCACACACACATACCATCTGGGAAGTAGGACGACGTCAACAATGGTGGAGGTGATAGTCGGCGGTGGCTGGTTTAGGGATTTTAGAGAATATGAGATATTTTCATTCAGAGAGAGAAAGTGGAATCGATGAGAATGTAAGCTTCGGTTACTGTATACCAAAAAAATTGATGTAAGCTTGAATGAAAGTAGAATCGATAAGAATTTAGAGAGCCCCAAATTGAGAACTTGTCCAGTAGAATCGATTTGAGAGTGAGTGTTGGATTTATTTCTTCCCTTTCCCGGTTCACTTACCCTTTAGTTACCCTAGTCAACTGATTCAAGCTTTCACGAAAAATCCTAGGTAGCAATTGATAGAGACAAGAAGGATGGGGCGAAGGTAGGATTGGATTCGATTTCAAAGAGTAACACTAGATTTCAATGAAAACCCTTTCCCGATTCGCTTGACCTTTGGTTAACTCAGTCGATCGATTCAAGCTTTCAATAAAAACCCTAGGTAGCGACCGAGAGAGACAAGAGGAAAAGGAAGGTGCATTGATGATCTGGGCAAGAGGGAAATAAGAAAAAGATGCGAGGTTTTTAATTTTTTAGGATTTCATTTTCCCCCTGATGGAACGCGCATTCCATTAAAATTTATAAAGCGATATCTTTAGATGATACACATTTTATTATAGGTGCCCTCCGTGTTTTTCTTTTTCTTTTTTTCATTTAGACACTAATTTAAGGGCACGCAATAATGCGTGACATAAATCCTTAAATTTTTTGAAGAGACGATACTTTTTTAATGTTACTCTCTTTTGCGTAACATAAATCAGTGAGTGTCATTGTTTGCGCGTCGTAAAAGGGTCTTTTTCTTGTAGTGATTCCTTACAAGGGGTGCAGATACCTTCCCTATCACAACGCGTTTTAAAGTCGTGAGGGCAACAGATCCCATAAGAACTCTGCAGTTAAGCGTGACTGAGCGAGAGCAATTCAAGGATGGGTAACCCCTAAGAAGTTTTCGTGTCGGGGCCCAAGGCAAACAATATTGTGATACATGCCATAGGGCGATGTTACAAATGAGGTTTCAAATTCAAGGCATATTCCTTGAACACCTTCCCTACATTAAGGTTTCTAACTCACATGTAGATTTTAGCATCAGCTTCCACTATGTAAAGATTTCCATATTCCCGTATAACTATCAATTCTTAACAAGAGTCACCTCCATTCAAAATTATGTCAATATGGTATGTCCAGATTAATACTATACTTCCAACTATCCACAAGCAACCAATATTCAGTAAATCTCAAAGTGTTCTTGACAATTGTTCAACAGCTTTAGTTACATCCAGTTCTAGTCCTTTTCCCTCTCAATGCCGTAGGTATTTGAAAAAAAAATAGAACAAGTGAATATTATAACATATGTAAACGATCTTATATCCGAAACATATGTGACTCGATTTATAACATCTTACATAAAGATCTGATGTCTGATATGTCTATTGCTATAATATTTCCATATATCGAATTTCCTATGTTGAACCATTTCAACACGATTTTCATATATGTCCAAGACTAAGTTTTTTTATTTATTAAAACTTTTAGTATAAAATTTTAGATTTGAATGAAGTATGAATGCCCTCTCCTTTAAATCTTTATATAGCGAAACAATTCCCAAACTTTACAATTTTCAAATTTAAAATATTCGTTACCTATAATTGGTATTGCTAACTTGCAACACTTAGCATAACAATTATGCTCCCACTAGCACAACAATTATGCTTCCACTAGCTTTGACATGTATCCAGAAATCAAATGAGCTTTTAGAAATCAACACTATTGATTTTCTTAAAGTACAAATTTCTGGTTAGTGAAGCTTCGATAAGTCTTTATTCAAACTTCTCAACCTTATACACATTTCATAGCTATAAGTCCTGAAAACTCAAATAGTTCCTTGCCATTTCTCACAATTCGTACTTATGAAAAGGGATACCATAATCATATTACGAATTTGAGAACACAATTATCACAACCACTAACCATAATGATATTTATCCATTCTTTAAAATCTACTTGCGAAAGTGTTTCCTCATAATCATTTTCATGAATTAGAGCGAAACCTTTTGCCACCTAGATTTTATGGTGTATGTGTTCCCCTCCATATGAATCTATCACTTCCAACCTACAAACATGAGACAAGGTTTATTACAAATTCAAATTCTAATCTAGCTTTCATGGATTGAACTTTACTTGTTATTGATTTTTTTTCCTTCTGGTAGCACAATAAAACATCCCAAAAATACGAACCAAAAATTTCATTTTTCATTCAAGTGAAAACAATATTTCAAATCATTGTTCATACAACCCAAATAAAATAATTGTATCAAATATCCAGAAAATCAGAGTATCCCCCATAAACAGAATCTTATGGTGTGTGCAATGCAGTCACCTCGAGCTCTTCCTCTTGCCACTGGAAGTACCTGAAACATAAACTGAAAATCGTAAGCACAAATTTAGTGAGTTCCCCAAACTAGCTCGTACCATACATAATAAATCATACACTGGGCCCCAGCCAAACATTAAGCCTCGCCTGGCATCGGACCCCACCCAACATCAAGCCGTGCTCAATATACATATTTGTTATTCTCAGGCCTCGCCTGTCACTAGGCCTCGCCCACAGTACATAGACAATCAATATCACATAATCATGCTAACATAAATGATGATCATAAACACTAGCATTTGTTCCAATCCTCAGGCCTCGCCTTGCATCGAGCCCCACCCAATCTATATAGCAACATATATCACATGCAAGGATCACACAGACTCCTAGCATCCTAACATAACCAATAAGGGCCAACATTGGTGCCTTAGACACGCTAAACCCAGTGAGGAAACTTACCTCGAATGCTGAATCTCACTAAAAGAAATCCCTAGTTGCTGCCTTGACGAATCCCCGTGCTATCATTACAAAATATACCTAATATACACTTGGGATCCAAACTATAATCAATAATCCATACTTGGGGTAAAATGACCATTTTACCCTTGGCCTAGCTTGATCTAAAACTAAGGCCCAAATCCATAAACCAATAAGGCCCAAAACCAAAAGATCCACAAAGGCTTATTTATGGCCCAATTTTCCAAATTGGGCCCAACCCCCCCCCCCCCTAAATGGTCCTTGCCCTAAATCCCCCTAAAATTCCTTAATCCAAAAGCTTAATTCCAGATGGCCCAAAAGGCCCAAAGCAACAAAGTCCAGGAAAATGGCCCAAACCGAGGCCCCAGAGTCCTAATCATAGATCCGAGTCTTAAACAACATCTTAACCCATAAAGTCATCATCTTGGTGGCTTTGCATGCTCCAAAAGGGCCAAAACTCAAAATATAACATTCTACTTCCATAAAAATGGCCATTACTTATGCATGGTTGGATTATAGCTTCAAAGGTCGCAACTCTATGACTCTATGACTCAAGGAATATAAAGAGTAGCAAATATTGGCTTCAGAAATGGAAATAATCCACAAGAGTTCATCAATGGGACCAAAAAGGAGTCCAAAAGCTAAAACATGGAGATCTAAGCTTCTGAAGATCAAGATCAAGACTTTATACCTTGCACAAGCAAAAATTGGAGCAGATAATCTGGATCTACAAGCTTCTCCTTGAACCACCACCTTGCTCCAACCTTCTCTTCCTTAAAAATGGAACAAAGCACACCAAAATACACTCAAAATACCTTTCAAGCTCAAGAACGCTCAACAATGGGGTTAGGGTTTTGTGGAGGCTATTTAGGGACAAGAGGGAAGCAGATAGAGAAGATCCTTAAGATATAATGTTCTTTAAATAGTGCTCAAACCCTAAATATTAGGGTTTTTGGTCTAAACATGTATGTTGTGCGTACTCCTTTGTACGTAGTGCGTACATGCATGGCACCAGCGTCCAATCTACACCAGTACGCCCAATGTACATAGGGTGGTACGCCCAGCATACTGCAAACCCTAAGCCCAATAAGAAAAGATCCAATGATTTCAAGGCCCAACTCATAATCATTAAATAACCATAATTTAAATAAATACCTCAGAAATATCGAGCGTTACAATTCTCCCCCACTTGAACCTACAATCATATGACAAAGTTTCTTAAAAATTCAAATTCTAATCTAGCTTTCATGGACTGAACTTTACTTGTTCTTAATTTTCTTGCCTTCTGGTAGCATAGGGGCCTACCAGTGCTTCCATGTTGTTTAAGCAACGCACCTCCATTGACCAATGTACTATCACTGACCAACGTGTTCTACCTTTTGTAGTCAAATGAGAATAATAGAACTCACAAGAATTTCCAACTCAACTGGAAGATACAAAAAAACAAGAATGTGTCAACTTAACACGATAGGTTATACGCCTCATGTCGTGTGCTAGTGATAACTAAAAGGTTTAATCTTGATTGGCTCCTGGAACTCTTCAAAATCAATAGACTCCTACTAACTTCTTTACATATAAGTTTCTCTCTCAATAAATTTTCCTTTTCGAGCTAAAATAAATACTCGAAAGATAAACTGGATTCCCGACAAGAAACACTTCATTGAATTGGTCTTATTTCATCCTTTGTTTTAACCAAAAACATCACAACTACGAATTCAAAATGTGCTAGAGTAAGAAAACATTATTACTCCACACTTCATGAGGTGTTATAAACCTACTTAGTATGAATTAAGTTTCAAGATACGATGTGTAGTAACTAGTGCATGACTCTAAAACTTGATTAGAAACGAAGTGTGACTCATCTTTTGATTTGAACCATTTCAACAATATCCGGTTCCTCTTCTTAGTCAATCAATTTCACTAAGATGTTATTAGACGATCAATTGTGATATAGTTCCACAATCATTAAGATGATCACGAAACACGATACTAAAGTACTCTCATTTCATTTCAGATTGGAGAAACCCTTTGCCTAACAGATTCTTCTTATTCGTTCTCCCACTCTTTGAAACTTTTCAAAGTATCAGAATTATGTTTAATCTTATAAACATAACCATGCT